TATATAAAAATAAAAAAATTATATGAAATAAAAATATGAAAGATATATAACACATATAGAAGTAGTAGGCATTTATAGAATACGGACGACGGTGAAAGAGGAAACGGAAGAGAGGAAAGAAAAGAAAGAAGTGAGAGGAAAGCGGGAGAAGAGGCACAGAGAAGAGGAGAAGGTGGAGGAAAGAAGGAAGAAGAGAGAGGACGAAGGATCGAGGAGGAAGGAAGCGGAGGGAGAAGAAGGGAGAAAGCAGGAGAGAGAAGGATAGCGGAGGATAGGAAAGAAAAGGTAAAGGAGGGGCGAAGGAGGAGCAGTACAGAAGAGAAGCAGGAGGAGGAGACGGAGAAAAGAAAGAGAAGAGGATGGCAGAAGGAGAAAAAGGAAGTGGAAGGAAGGACTGGACGGATGTGCTGAGGGAGATAGGAAGAGATGTGACGGTATACTTAAGAAGGATGGAAAGAGAACTGAGAGGGATAAGAGAGGTAATGGAGAGAAAGGAGGAAAGAAAAAGAAGAGAGGAGAGATGGAAGAGGGAGAGGCAAATAGAAGAGGAAAGGGAAAAGCAGAGAAAGGAAGAAGAGGAGAAACGCGAGCGAGAGAGGGAAGTCGAGAAGGAAAAAGAAAAGGAAGGAAAAGGAGGGAAGCAGGAGCTAAACGAGAGAGAAGGAAGATGGAAAGTGATGGAGAGGAAGAAGGCAAGTGGAGAACAAGAGGAGAAGATGGAGAAGAAAATAATGGAGATGAGAAGAAAGGAGGAGATTCGGAGAAGGGAGGAAGAAAAGAGGAAGGAGGAAAGAGAAGAGAGAGAAAGGAAACAAGAAGCAGAAGAGAAAAGAATGAGAGAGAAGGAAATAGAAGAACGAGAGAGCAGCGAAGAGGAGAAGAAACAGGTGGAGAAGAATGGAGAGAAGGGAGGAGGAGACGGAAGAAGCAGAGGAAAGGGAGAGGAGAGGGTACAGAAAATGGAGAAGGGAGGAGAGAGAGAAATAAAGGACAAGGACAAAGAGAAGGACAGATCAGAAGCGGAGAAGGCGGAGAAGGCGGAATGGTGGAAAGAAGAAGAAGAGGAAGCAGAGAAAGAAGAAAAGTACAAGAGAGAAAGAGAGGAAAGAAGAGGAAGAAGGATCATGTGGAAGGGGGTAGAGGGAAAGAATAAGGAGGGCAGAAGAGAGAGCAGAAGATCAGAAAGGAAGGAGAAAGGAGAGGGAAGCAGAAGAAAAGAGGATGAAGGAGAGAGAAGAGGCACAGGAGGGAGGAGCAATAGGAATGGCGGAGAGGAGGAGGCAGGAAGGAAAGGAAATAAAGGAAGGAAGGAACGTGACAAGACGATAGGAGAAGACGTAGAGGAAGAGAGGAAGGAGTGAGAGATGATGGAGGGTTAGGGGTAGAGGGAGGGTCGAGGGGAAGGGGGGTAAAAGTATGTAAAGGTCGCATACGGCCAGGTCGCGGTAGGAGGGGTACGGACGAAGATGGAAAGGGTTCGGGAACGCTCCCTACAAAAGCGCCAATTGAGATTGTAACCCCAAGGGGAAAAC